GCCCGACGCGCTCTGCAGGCCTAGCCTGCAAGCATCAGCCTACCCTGTTGCGCGTTGGGCCTACAACGCGTAGGCCCAGGCATGCAAGCATATCCGCGGAGGTCTGCTGCGCAAACGGCGCGCACACAATGTGCAGCGTTAGCCTTGTCCGCACCTCGATGTGATGCGCGCGCAGGTCTGGTCTCATGCTTCATGCGAATGGGATGTGAGCACTGTGCGCACATCCTGCACCTGTTACACGTGCAGTGCCTGCACAGCTCTCCTGTGGGTGTTTTTTATGGGGATTTTCCCCCCCTTTTTCATTTTCTCCTAAAAATCGATTATTTTTTAAAAAGTAATAATAAATCAAAACAAAATTAGGTAAAATTAAATAAAATTAAAAATAAAATAAAATATTAAAATCGGTATAATTTACGAATTACGATATAAAATCGCAAAATAAAATTAAATAAATTTAATGTGGCCTTAAGGCCCGAATAAATAGGATTTTTCAAATACATTTTAGTATGACGGTGAGCGTGGTTTTACATTCCCCCACCTTAAAAAAATTTGGTCCCCAAATTTGTCTCAAACAAGTCCGAAAACTTTTCTCATCTCGCCTTCCAACTCCTACGTCGCCTCTTCCAAAGTATGGTGCTATCATTGCACCTTCACCATGAGAATCGTTTTATTGCGTAAGAATTTGTCGGTCAATCCTAGAATCTCCATGAGAAATTTTTTATAAGTCATATCGGCTTGTACCTGTCTCATCGTGAGAAAAACATCAAATAAACCTGCAAACTCTCAAGGTAGAGTAAAGAGGTATGCTACAAGTCCAATGCGCTCTACGATCCAAAAAGGCTCCACATAACAAGGGCTCAACTTTCCTCTTTTCCTGAACCTTAGAAAAGTTTCTAATCCTTTATTGCTTATATTCTATATGCTACTTCATGCTTCGTTACAAATATTAAGGGAAAGAAATGCGTGAAGAAGATTAGAAGAACGACTTAGTTCAACTAGATGACATCTTTTAGAGTCCAGTGAGCCATAAGAATCTATTCTGCTCTTTCTGATCGATGACAAAAATGGGGAGAGTTAAAAATTGTATCAAGATAAAGGTTTAAAAAAGATAAAGAAAGAGAGAAAAGAGAGATATTATTAATGAGCTTAAATGAATATATGCAATTTCGTTTCTTAATTACCTTCCTATCATGTCTAATTAGCAAGACATATTAAGTTTTCTTATGAAAAAAGGGCATTGTTGAAATATATATATTGACTTTGATAAATGACAAATACTTGATATATGTTAACATTATTTTAAAATCATAGTTAAGGTTGATAATGCAACTAAGAGATAAAATAACAAAATAGAGCTAAAAAGTGTACATAAGCTGAAGAACAAGAAGAAAAATACATGAAGATATGATTATTGGAGAATTCAAGAAAGAGTTTCAAGAAAAAAAATTGAAGAATTGGGTTTCTAAGTATCATCTTTTTTTTATTTACATGATTTTCAAACTACAACTTGAAGAATTTTTTTTAATCAAGAATTCAAGATTTTCAAAATCGTATTAGAGAGACTTTATAAAACAAACATTTTGAAAAACATGGTTAGATCATATAAAAAAACCCAAATCTCATTCGAGTTATATCAATCTCTCTTTAAGATTATGTATCGACCATTAAAAGAAGATAGAAGTTGCAGTTTTTGAGACTACATCTCTCTTACTGGTCTTTTCCAGCCTATAGGGCCAACAAAGGAAATGAAAAAAAAAATTAAAAAAAGAGAAAAGAAAATTATCGCAAGTTTTTGGCAGTTTTCATGTGTGTGTGTGTGTGTGTGTGTGTGTGCGCATGCGAATCGAGAGGGGTTTTTTGGCCATCAGAAAAGCAAAAGGCAGTTTTGTCTTTCCTTTCTCTCATGCACAAAACTCGAAGGTTGGAGAAAAACATAAGGTTCGCTTTTGTCTTTTTTTATACACACAGAAACCGAAGCAAGGGTGTTACTTTGGATTTTTTTTCTCACACTTATAGAAATTGAGACAAAAAAGGTTGATTAGGTTTGTTATTTTTTCTTTGATATTTTGGATAATTTTGAGGGGTTATTCTCTAAATTATTTGCGTTATCAT